ACACTTCCAATCAACAGCTGGAGCTGCCACTTGTGCCTTGATGTCAGTGGCAGAAGGAAAAAACAGAATTTAGGCCATGCCAGAGACTCTATTGTCATTTAAATGATCATAAATGAAAGCTTTGCTCAATCTATCCTTACTAATTTTTTTTTTTACCACTTTTGTGCCCATTTCTGTCCTCATATATTTTGTCTGGAGGGGTTTTTAAAGTATTTATTTTGATTTATTTTTAAAAGTATTTATTTTGATTTATTTTTAAAGTATTTGTTTATTTTATTTATTTTTAGGTATTCATTTTACTTTAAGTATTTATCATTTTTAGAAGCAATGGGGGAACTGAACTGGATGAAATAAGAGATGGCTTGAACCTTTATGTGCAGCAAAAAATAAATAGGAAAATCATCTGTACTTTAACACAAGAAACAAAGGGCTTGAGAATAGGTTTTAAGCAAACCCTACCTGTGAGTAAAAATATCCTTGCAATTCCATATGCCAAAATAACTCAAAAAGGCAGTTTGGAGGTCAAAAGCTGTTTTCTTATGGTTCTCCTTGGAATAAAAAGGGGAATTCTAGTGACACATAATGGCAATTTCATTTAGCAGAGAGCCCCTGGCAGACAGCTCTGCTGCTGTAGCCTCAGGCCACAGAAATTCCCTGATTTTCTGCTGATAGGTGTGGCCTAATCTGATCTGATGTGTTTGATCTTTTTTAAAAATGAAATTTAAAAATCCCTTTCCTAAGCACTCAGGGTCTCCGTCTTCCTTTCTATTTGCAAAGCAAAACTTAAAATAAATGCAGAAATATATTTATATGTGTGTGTAAATATAAATATAAATATAAATATACATATAAATATCAATATAAATATAAACATATATATATATATATATGTACGTAGATAAAGGAAAGTCAGATAAGATTAGGGAGCCACAAGCAACCACTGTCTAAAAAGTGATATTTCAATTCTCCTTCCCATCACTAACAACTTTACACATTAATGTGGGGGAAATGTATGGAAAAATCCATAAATATACTTGTTGCACCTCAAGTTTTCAAATTGTTTGGTAGGAAACTTCCAAATATCCATATTCTCCAAAAAAGTTTAAAGTTGGTTTTGGTTTTTTTTTCCAGAAGACCTTACTATATTGAAATTGTTGGAATTATGAATGGTAAAAGGAAATGCCAGGAATTTTCTGTTGGCTAAATAATATAAATATGTAATTATTAGGACAATTTTTTATCTCATTAAACAAATTTTAAAAAGTCAAGATAATTCAAGTATTTGATGAGTAAAATTCAGTCTTTGAATAAAAAACTAAATAAATCTCAAAGAAAGAAGCATATTTTGCACTTTGCACACCTTCTCAAAGGCTGTTCCTGACAGGAACATTGTGTCTCCCAGCAATCAGAGAGCTGTTCTTGCTTGGCATGCAAATATATTCTCCCAAATAAAAAGAACTTTCACCTGGCTACCACATCCACGTTCCCAATACCAGCAATAGATTTGCATCAGTCCTTTCAAAGCAGCAAGATTGTGCTAAAACCTTATTTTTCCTCCTTTCACCATTTAACTTTTGTAGAAAGTCATTGCTTCTTATTGCTTTTATATATTATGAGTGTCTGATATATTATCATCTACCTGCTCTGCCTTTCAGCTGCAATAAAATTGTCTCTACTCTTTGTGTTTTATTTTATTTTCCCCTTTAGGTTTTATCCAACAATGACCCTTTTTGTCCCCAAAGCTTTCCCAGCTCACATTCACTACTTGATTAATATTTACTAACATATTGATCAACATATTTTTATTATATTTCCTCTGGGGAAAGGGAGAGAAGAGGAAGGGAGTGAATGTTTTTCACTTTCCTGTGACCTGTCTTCCTTTGGTTCAAGTTTTGCCACCACATCCTGCCACACTCTGTGCAAATGCACCAAATCACAGCCAGAACAGCCCTAAAAATTCAGATAATCAACCAGCACAGGCAAAAGGAGCCTTTTATCCCTCACACCCATCAAGCAGCAAATGGAAAGTCGGTGTTAGATCCTCAGACTAACAGCTCCAGCTGGGACTTTTCCACTGGTGCTGAAAATCCCTCAGCTAAACCCTAATTGTGGTGTCTTCTTAATCAGGCACATCACACCCAGCCAGGAAATTAAAAGAAGAAATTCCTTTCTAATTAAAACTGGAATTATGAAAGCGGGAGCTGCACAGGAAAGTTGAAAACAGTGGTTTTGGAGTCTCTGTTTCATCACTGCTCCTTGGCATCCAAAATCAATCCTGCCCCAAGTGCAATCAAAGCATTCCCAAAATGCAGATTTTGCTCTCAGAGTCTTTGCAGTCCCCACCAGAGCTCACAGGAAGAAATGCACAAAGCCTGAATTTATTTCCATATGGAAACAGGAATATTGAACACAAAGGTTTGCTGGAGAACAGCTTCACACAAATAGCAGAAAAGTTGTTCTGAAGCTGAAGGGATGCAAAATCAGTTCACCCAGCAACTTAATCTTGGAAAGCAGTAAAAAGAGCTATATTTAATGATGCTATTGTTCAGTTGGAATAATTTGTGTTTAATTTCTCAGGGAAATTCAAATCTTTTATGCCAAGCACTGATATTATTCCCTTTTTATATTTTTATCAATGGTTCAGTTGCCCCTTAATCAAAAGACAATGCAAGAGGGAATATTTCTCATTCAGCAGAGCATCTTGACTAATTTTATGGTCCCATATGTGATCCCTCTGAACAGAAGTTCACACAAAGAGCAATTTACAGCACACACGTAGCTGGAGAGCTAAAAATAGAATATGCAAAACTCAGTCTTGGCAACAGAACTCTTCCAATGCCCTTTGGGTTTCAGCTGATATTCACAATTTGATTAAACATGCTCCAAGAGCGAGTGCACGAGCATGCATTCTACATTAGCAGGAAGGAAAAGAATTCTGTCTATTTATCCTGGAAACAACTCCCTCAGGTGTTTTTTACTGTATTTATTTGGGATGCAAAATGGGCTATGGAACAATATCTTGTATCTTAAAGGTCAGCTTGTTATAAACTGTGAATAAAATGAAATCCCCTGAGATTGAAGCTGTGGTTCTTATGGAGTCCATATTGCAAAGCTTTAGCTCATAAGATCTAAAAGATCTCCATTAATTTTAAACAGATAAGTTCAGGCAGTCACTGATCTGCATCCAGAGGATTTCACCCCTTTATCAGTTTAGAATCTGTCTCTGTGCAAAGCTAAAAAATCACTGAAATGCTGAAATATTGACTCTTTTTAATAGGCACATAGAACTAATTAAAATAAGAAGCAATGAAGCCAAGTCAGAGAAAAAAAAAATTTATATTGAGACCATTTTAGAACTAGTATTGACCAGAAATATTTCAGTAAACCACATGAAAAAGACAGATTATTGAACTTAATATTGAAATGTGGAAAGTCTCATGATTTCCCATTTACTCTGGGATTCAGAGGGGTCAACTGCCGTGGAAGCTGAGCAGAAACACTTTGATCTCAAAATGAACAGCAAAATATAAAACTCTGTATAAGCCTTTGCCAGTCACACCTGACTGAAGAACCAACCCCCTGCCTGCCCTGCTGCTCCCTGGGAAGGAGGAAAATTCTTCTGGCACTGGGAATGTTCTCCCAAAGCCTTCCCAAAGTCAAACTCTGTGCCTTGTCCTGATCCTGGCTGTTCAGGGTGTTTTATTCTCTTTCTCCAGGAGGAGCACCTGAGCTGACTTAGGCTGTAACAATATTTAAATAACCAAGGTGTATTTTCCACTCCCCAGCAATCAAATATTACATTTGTGAGAGCAGGAATTACCCAGCAAAAGCAAACTGTTCTTGCTGGTTTGGAAATGCACAAATGAAATTTAAGGAGCTGCTGCCATAAAATATCCACTCTGAGTTATCACATATGATTTGTTTTCTCTGATTGCATTTTAAGAAACCACTTTTAAAACAAACATCAAGTGCATGTCTGCCTTTATTCTGCAGCTCAGCATACCTATAAAAAGGACAATACATGTATTCATAAACTCGAAAGAAAAAAAATCTATTTGTTCAGCAACATTAACATTCAGCTTGACCTTTCAAAGAACAAATCTATTGGAATTGCAAAAATTTTCAGTCTCTTAATTAGGTCTGTACAAAAGAATCAGATGAAATCAAATGCCACAAGCAAACAGGATATTTTCCATTCTGGCCTCCTGTACAGAGTGAATAAAATACTTCAGGAGGTAACTCACCTGAAACCATTATGAATAAAAGTCATTAACCTCACTGATTTAACCAACTCAATTTGTCATCTTTGAGCATTACTTGAAATTTCTTAGACACAAAAAAAAACATTTTACACATATGAAGACTCAGTGGAAACCAGATGTGTTACCAACACATTTATCTTCCCAAATTTATCTGCATCAAAATTGGACTACCCCAATCTAATGACAGCCGAAGTTTTTTAAATGTCTCGTGGCCATGCACTCTTAAATAAATCCATGTCGTTGAAAAAAACCAATAAAATATACAGTTTTTAAAGCACCTGTTCTCATTTTGAGGACTTCAACAGTACTTAATTCTTCATAATCAACAACAAGATTTTAAAGAATTAACATTTCTCAAAAAAAAAAAAAAAAAAAAAAACCCACCAAACAATTACACCTCCTTCTGTTGATGCCTCAGGTTTTGGCTTTTATATTTTTCACAATCTGTGCTGCTTTAGTGTGGGGGTCTGAGCTTCACATCAGGGGATGGTGAGCTCTGTGCACAGAGCAGGGAGACAAAACAATTCCTGCTCCAGCTGGGCACCAAGGACAAATGATCCAAATCTCAGCCCCAAGAGCACAAACCCCGCTGCCCAAGGTGCATCCATGGAGGAGATCCTTTTAATAAATCCCTACTTTATTCTTTAACTCCACCTAGTCTCTGTTCTAGCTCAACCTTCCCAAGGCATCACTGCTAGGCCACACTTAACAGCCCCCCCAAAAAAGGCACCTACTCACCAGAATTTTTGTCGTGTAAGCACTGTTGATGGCAATCGCATTGACCAGCAGCTCCATGGTTTTGGCAGGGATGGAGTCGGGGTCGGGGATCTCCTTGTAGTGGACGTCGCCCACGTAGGCCTGCACCACGGTCATGCGGTTGGTGGTCAGCGTGCCCGTCTTGTCCGAGCAGATGGCCGTGGCGTTGCCCATGGTCTCGCAGGCGTCCAGGTGCCGCACCAGGTTGTTGTCCCTCATCATTTTCTGAGGGGAAAACCCACCAAAACCCAAGTAAGAAATCCTTTGATGTCAGCTTTGACAGGGTTTTAGTAATAAAAAGGAAAGCAGCCCATGGTTAGTCCTGCTGGTGAGAATGTGATGTTCTCTAGAGCAGAGCTTTGGTCCAATAACCCAAATTCCCAGTTATCAACAAAGCTGTGCCTATCCCTGAGGTAATTTTGCCTTTGATAAACTAAAAGAGTTGCATCACTTCCCTGCAGTAGGTTTGCATTTTAAGGAATAGCTAGAACAGGTTGTTGTCCCTCATCATTTTCTGAGGGGAAAACCCACCAAAACCCAAGTAAGAAGCCCTTCAATGCTGGCTTTTGAGGTTTTTAGTCACAAAAAGGAAAGCAGCCCAAGGTTAGTCCTGCTGGTGAGAACTTGAAATTCCCTAAAGCAGAGCTTTGGTGGGGGCCAATAACCTCAAACCCCAGTTACAGACAGCAAAGCTGTGCCTATCCCTGAGGTAGTTTTGCCTTTGATAAACTTTTAAAAGAGTTGCATCATTTTCCTGCAGTAGGTTTGCATTTTAAGGAATAGCTAGAACAGCAAAGATGAACTAAAGGAACTAGAGATTTTTAATTATTGTTATAGCAAACATTTGGGATTTTTTTCTTAACACTGCTTGGAACGCCAGGACATTATCTGGCAGCACACAGATGGACCACACGTTTTGGAGGAAAAGCAAAAGAGAAAGGGTATCAGAGGAAGGACATCAGGAAAATGAGAAAAACATTTTCAAAGCAGCTACATTCTTCATTAGCAAAGCCCTATCTTTCCAACTTCCTCCTTTTTCCTCATAATTGTGATATTTGACTACACAGAAGCCAAAAGAGTCCTTCCTAAACTTCCCAAGTTAATTTGTTTACATGCTAAATGGAAATCAACTTTACACCATCTTCATCTAAGATTCCCAGAATGTTTAAATCATCTAATTAAATTGCTCAAATAATCCTGAAGTCCAGGATGTTAATCCTCTTTAATTTCCTAATAGAACCATTTACATTGACTTCAAAGAACTGCAACTGCATTTAAGAAAAGTACATGAAAGCTTCAGTGAAACTCTTAATTTCTTTGAGAAGCTCCAATTTCTCTGAGAAGTGTTCCTGAAAACTTCAAATCCTTGTCAAAACTTTGTATAGTTGCACAAGAAAATTTGAATACAAAATTATTCTATATCAAAAGACTGGACTATTTTCAGAGTACATTCTGCTCAATAAATTCCTGGTTCCTTGCAAATTAAGTAGGTATTTCTACTGCTTGATATTCCTGCACTGTACAGTTTTAAGGAGTGTGCTGGAAGATGTATTTGCATTTTTGTTAGAAATACTTTCAATATAAGTGTTCTTTAAAGCAATTTCATGAATATTTTGAGCACATAATTTTCAGACCATTTTTCATCCCATCTGATAAAACTTGAGGACCAACTCAGTGGTGAACTCAAGCAAACAGCACTTTTCTCCCTGGATTATTTTGAATGTCTCTTACCTTTACAGAATAAGCCAGAGAAATAGTGACAGCAAGTGGGAGTCCCTCAGGAACAGCAACCACGAGCACAGTAACACCAATAATGAAGAATTTAACAAAATACTGAACGTAGACAGGAGTGCACTCAGGCAACCACTGCTTCTTGTTGACCACAAAGGTGTCAATGGCAAAATACAGTACCAAGATGATGACAGTGATGGCAGACATCACCAGACCTGGGAGGAGAAATCACCAGTTACCATAAACCCAAACAGCGCTGAGAACACAAGCAATTAGAAATTGGGATTTGATAGGAAATTCTTTCTTTGTGATGTTTTTCACCAGTACCAATAACAAGGATAAACTGTACACTGAAGAAAAAACATTGCCGAAATATATTTACAGTGCACAAGGAATTCTAGGGAATTCATTTTTAAGCCTTTACAACTTCCCAGGCAGTGCAGGAGTTCTGCTGTCACTTAAGCTAAGCTTATTCAATTTAGCACATTACTTTGCCTGGTACAACATTTATCTGTCCTTTTAACCCCCACCTTTTACAAATTACTTGTCTATCTATATTTAAACACCTTTCTTCTAAGTAAGTATATCTTTAGAGGCTTAAGGAAAGGAGCCTCCCATGTTGCTGAATAAAATAGTGTAGAAAAGTCCTACGGGTGATTCTGAGTGAATATAAAGAGGAAATAATGCAGAATTATCCACAGGACAGTTTTTCACTGGGTTTCTTTAAAATGTGGCTAATACTGGTGTCCCCCAACCTGTCCCTTTTCAAGGGAACATCTGCAGAGTGTGTATTTTCATGAGCAGAGGTTCCAAAAAGACAGAGCCTCCAATAAATATTTCACAGAATTGACAATATGTCCCAAACATTCCATCTACTCTCCCAATGGCACAGACTGCTGGGATAGCACTCCTGCTCCACAGTTTTGTCCCTGGGTTTGAGTACACAAATAAAATTTCCATTATAGCCTGAGCTTGGCCTTGCTCTGACAGTCCTGTCTGTTGGGTTTGTGTGAAGGAGTTAAGCCTGCATTTTGGAATAAATTAATTTCTCCCTAATGAGATCATAGAGTAGAAGGAGAATGCTGTGAAATTCATGTCTTGACTGCAGTTCTTAAAAATTTGGTAAAGCTGAAGGATGCTAAGGTTGACAGGAAACAGATGAGTCAGGGAGATCACTCTGTGCCAGAGGATAAAGGAAAAACCGTTAAAATATTGTACAGGCAAATACTCCTGACAAGGCAAGGCATCCCCATAAGTTGCTCAACACCAAAGAAAAACCAAATGAGACGATGATTAATTAATTTAATTCCTGTTCTTTGCCACATTCTGGTCAGAAATCCCTACACAATTACTTCAAGAGTGAGGTTCACGTGCCAGAGCAGAAGTCAAAATGATTAATTAATTTAATTCCCGTTCCTTGCCACATTCTGGTCAGAATTACTTCAAGAGTGAGGTTCACGTGCCAGAGCAGAAGTCAAGGCAGTGCTGAAAGATATTTAATCCAAGGAATTAATCATCAGGGGGAACAAAGGAGAGAGGCTGGAGGAATATGAATGGGGGCAAGGCATGAAATTAGATATCAGGGATGATAATCCTGGATTTGGTCACACTCTGCTCAGGCAAAGGGAAATGGCATCGTGGGGTTATGTGATGAACTCCTGTGATGAACTCACAGAGGGATGGGAAGGGAAAAACCAGTCTGGGGGAGAAGGCTGAGGGACATGGAACAGAAGTAAAGGGATCTTGTAGGGCCTCCACCAAGGAGCTGAGATCAAAATCTCTTTATTACCATGATAAAAGCAAACCTAAAGAACTTTAGGCCCTTATGGAAGATTTCCACTCTCTGCCCACATGTTGGAGAAGTGCTGCTTCCAACACCAGGGGCCAGATGGTTCTGGATACACGAGTCCAAAGATGTGTCATGCTTGGGGAGAAGGCAGGAATGTGGATATTTGGGGAGAACAGAATGATTTCAGAATCCATGAGAGGGAAATACTGTGTGAGTGATATTTTGAGATGGTATTAGAGATTCTGAAACTGTGTACTCCCAAGTTCTGAGGGGAGAGGAAATTAAATACGTAATTACTGCACTTGGGAATATTAACTCTTGAGAAAAACTGCATTTCATTTTGATTCAAATATTCATTACAATCCAAGTTGCCCAAAGCTCCTTGGCAGTCAAAGCTGATTTTTAGGAGAATAAAAGATCTTCAGCACCACATACTCTCCTTAGAACAGCTTGGTGATTACCCATTTCCAAATGTTGCAGTAAAAAAGGGCCTGTCCCTTTTCAGAACCATTTGCTTTGCAGCTCTTTGCCCCCAGTGACCCAGCGGGCTTTGGTGACCCAGCCATACCTGCTTTGCCAATCTGCACTGCCAGCTTGGTCAGCTTTCCCTGCAGGACAGATTTTTCTTTCTTGTGCATGTTGGATTTCTTCTTGTCCTTGTCGTCTCCCTCTCCCCCTTCTGCGCTCTTCAGCGGCTGCATCTCCATGGCAGCAGCCCCGTCCTGCTGCTTGGCTGATAATGCAGAACACAACTGTTACTCCAGAGCTTTATCCCTTCCTTCTCCGTGCTCATCCTCTCTGAACCCAGCCAGCATCGCAGGGGCTGCCTGGGACAATTCCTGCCAGGGACACCCTTGGCTCCCTGGAGAGCCAGCAGGGCTCTGCAGGACACAGCTGTGCCAGCACACCCCTCAGGACACGTGGGGATTTGGGCTGGAAAACCCTGATGGGTATTTTTCCCTCATTTTTACCCCCACTTGTGATGCTCTGGGCCATACACATATATGCCACTGAATGCCTTGCAGGTGACTTGGCAGGTGACAGCACCAGCACTGCAGGATTGCCTGGAACAGCAGAGCTCAGGCGCTTTGACAGATCCACATTCCTCTGGATTTTGGGATGCCTCTTAGAGTGCAATGCATATTTCCAATGCAAATATTTTGAAGGCAATGTGGTTGCACAGGTGGCCCATGTGTCACTTCTCTGGGCTGCAGGGGCACCTCAGTGACCAGGGGACCACACTCTGCCATCCACCATTCCAGAAAATCCCTCAGTTAGAAAGTTTCCTCAGCATTCCATGATCAAGGTACTCAGCCCTCGGGTCTGATGGTGGTGGCATCACCATTGCCCCACAAAACCTACACACAGTTTCAGGGCTGAACCCTCCTTTCCTGACAGAATGCCAGCAGAAGGAAACTTTATTTTTACGTGTTTCTGAAAGGCAATGACATTGCAGTGGATATATGTGCATGTGTCTGGTTTGTACTGAGCACAATAAATAAAATAGGATGAGATGAAACAGCTTTGCTTTCATGAAGAGATTGTACAAGACTGTGCTTGTTTGACCTGGAAATCTAATTTATCTATCTAGCCTGAATGCTTATTATTTAATAGCATTTTATTTGGTACTTCTGTACCATGAACCCCTGAGTTCCTCTATCCAGTTTCTGAGCCATCACCTTTGCAATGTTCAATATTATCTGAGAAGAGAAAATTGTCGTTTAATTTGGTATAACCCAAAGAGTTTTTGATAGCTGTGTCTTATAATAAAATGGGAACCATGACTTTGCTTCAGAGAAAGCAAAATATTGATTCCAATTTCTTCCTGACATTGTATATTAAATAAGAAACATCTAGGACTCTCAATCTTCGTGTTGTTTATCCTCATAAAAGGCTTTTGCACTGCTAGATAACACCTTGGCTTTAAGGTTTCCTTTTTTTTATTGCTTTGCTTTTCCCCTGCAAATGAAGAGATGTCCAGACAATGCCATCAGACACCAGAGATGATGAGACATAAAAAAACTGGGCTGGAAAATCACTAACAATACATAGGACAGGAAAAATTGCACAACTTGCACAACTTGCACAGGAAAAATTAACTCAAATGAGCTTTGTGAGATGAAAGCAACATCTAGAAACGGTCCCTTTAAAATACTCCTCTCCTAAACCTCTGCAGCTTGTGGAGGTTACAATCTCTTTGGTTGGGGTTGGCTGTTTGGGGTTTTTTCAGACATTCTGCATGAACAATTAGGGCCAGTTTCACACACAGGCACAGACCACAGGTTCTCACTGTACTTTGGGACAGGGTTGAGCTACATGCTAACAATACAATCCACAACCTCCTGAATAGCAAAGAAGATTACCTTTGTTCTGGTTGTTCTCCATATTCCCATCCTGCATCTTGCCTAAATGATGAAAAATTCCAACAGACAACAGACAGTAAACAACCTTCAGCTGAGACAGAACACGAAAATGGGGATTCATATCAATGGGAGACAAAAGCCATGAGCACACCACGGGCACCTGGGCACCATCCCTGCCCTCACACCTGCACTCACAGAGGGGCCAACCCAGCGTGGCACGTCCAAGGAATTCCAGCCAAGCTCAGGGTTGGAACACATTAAATGCTGAATATCAGCACGTATTTTTGAGGAATCTGCATAAATTCAGAAGGGGAAACTAATAAAGTGGATCCGGTGGGAAAATGAATTGGAATAATATTCCTGAGCTGATGTTTCAGAGGGCTGGGACTTCAAAACTCCGGCACGCACCAGTATAGAGTAAGGGTTTCTTAATGTATTCCAGAATTAAATTAATCATGTTACTAAATTGAAAAAGAAATAGAAACAATAGTGTTAATCAATCTAAATGAATAAATAAAAAATGCAAATAAGACAGGATTTTTAAATTACATCTTCCTCACTTGGTTGTACTAATTAACAAATTTCTCCTGGAAATACAAGTGCCAGGTGACCTAAATTCAGATTTATCCTGAACACAGATTTACCATGTGCCTCTTTAATTTCCAGCTTGATATTTTATCCACAAACAATTTTACCACAAAAAGTCCTTATTCCTTTGTGCCTTTTTCAAGTGGAAATGTCATTTGAAAATGTGCATGAGATAAAAATGGCAAAATGCACAAATCACATACAAAACTTTGGTATTCAGAATAAGAGCTAAATATTTTCAAATGGATTCAAAATTTCGTGGTGGGATCCCTTACGAAACTTTCACAGTAATTATATGAATTTATGGAAAAGGCTACAACAAATATTATCTCAGAATGGATTGACAGTGTCTTTTGGTAGCTATGTAAAATGCACAATAAAAAATGATGCTAAGGAAAATTAAGTTAAAACTCCATTACAGGATTGTTGACACATTCTAATAAGAAATGTACCATCAGGATTTATTAAAAAATGTGCCAGCAGGTACATCTTGTTCTTCTGACTGCTATGTGGATTAATTTTTTCACTCTGCTGTGACTAAATCATAACAAAATGGAAAATCTAAGATGCCTCTCTTGCATGTCGGTCTTTGCACCAAGTGGGAGAGCAAAAGCGACCAAGTCAATGTTATATTTGTCAAAAATAGGCCCCAGTGCCACACTGGGAAATTCCAAAGCCCATAAGCAGGGCCTAAAGTCATCTCAGAGCTCAGGTGAATTACGGCAATAAACCACTGACCATCAGCTGCATATTTGTATTTCTAATTCTATTCCTACCCTGGCAATAACAGGACTTAAAAAAATTCAGAATCCACCTTCCAGAGCTTTACACAAGAGAAGAATCCATGAACCTGAGCAAAACCAAGCTCCTTTGCACAGTGAAATTCCCTGTAAAACCTTGGCCCGTGGGGCACAGTTGGACTCAGTACCTGCCTGGTGGCTGTTTTTCTTAGAAGGGCTTTTAATAAAGTTACTGGAAGACACAAAATATCTCTGGAGATTTGGATTCCTGGCTGGAGCATAAAGCCTTCCCTAAGAACTGGAAGGCATTAATTTAGAGCAGGCAGTCTGCTCCATTTCCTGCTCTGGAGATCCTTTTGCAGAATGCAATTCCAAACCTCGGAGTGGCAAAAAAACTGAACAATATCCAACTTTCAAAAAGATAAAAATCACCAACAAAACCCAAATGGGGCTGTCCCAACTTGCAGACACATCACAGAGATTTTCTTTTTTTTTGTAAATTAAAAATGTACTTTTAGGACATATATTTGCTATTTAATTGCATAATTATCATAATAAATTACACCAACAATTGACTGGCTGCCTGAAAATAGCAGTACATAAAATAAACAATAATTAACAACATTTTAAACTCAGGTATTTAAAAAATACTTTCTTAATATTCTTAATCTACTGCATTCAGGTTATTGAGTGGGGGAAGTCGTCAGAAGTAGTTAACAGTTCAGTTATTTAGACAGAATAACAAAGAGAAGGTAATTTGGGTAATCAAGATAAAGAAAAGGAAGCTGTAAACTATTTATATCCTCGCTGCACTTTGGTATAAAATATGAGCAAGGAAATTAAGGCAGAAAGAAAGGTGACAGAATCACCACTGCTGAGAGATCCTTCCTCCTTTCAGGTACAAATACTCCCCCATCCTTCTCTCCTTGGTGCATTATTTAGAATTCTCAAAAGGAGGAGTATTTATTAATATTTTGATAGCATCATGTTAAATAATTCTTTAAAAATGCACTATTTTTTTTTTACATCATTCTGCAAATATTTTCTTCTTTTCTGTTTGGAATAATGGATAAAATAAATTTTGTTTGGGCTGGAGAAATCCATCTGAGTTTTTTATCACTTTTCTAAGCAAGGATGAAAAATCAGAAAGTTTAGAATAGCATTTCTAACATCTGCACTCTGCAGCTGATTTGAAAGTTCTGAATTTAAATATAAATATTTTTCACATGCCTTTGCCTCACTACAATTCCTGTATTTTGGAAAGGACTCGTGGCACCTTTACTGACTAAATTCTTACTATAAAAGTAAAGGACTTCACCAAACAAAAGTCCCAAGAAAAGCCTCCCCTTTACCTGCTGCTGCTCTTGAGAAAGAATCAATGACACAGAATAATAAAGTCCTATCACTATTTTGGAAATTATTTCTAAATTGGAAGAAGTGCTTGGAATCAACCAAAGAAAAGAATGGAATTGTGTTTCAAGTGCTGAGAGGGAACCACTGGATGAAACAGGAAGTTTTAGATAATCCTTCTATGCATTCAATAAATAACTTCACTTACAATTCAGAAATATAAATTATAAATCATAAAATATAAATAATTTTTAATAGAAAAATAGTATTTTTTTTAAGAGTTCAAACTGCAAATTTCTTTGCAGGAGCAGAAGTAGCTCAGTACCTACACTGGGATTAGCTACAGATATAAAATATTCCAGCAGAGATTTCTCTGACTCTGGTAAGCCATTTCTATACCTTTTCTATATTTTCTTAACACACATTTTAGTAGCAAATTCTTGAGCTTACAAATGGCAAAAAAATCCCAACAACCCACCCTGAAAATCCTGATTTAGGAAGGTGGCAGTGCTCTACTGGAAGGAAATCAAATTTGGGGTAATTTGAGCTACTAGAAGGAAATCAAATTTGGGGTAAACAAGCTGTAAACAGTGATTGCTGCTTCCCTGATTTTCATTTTTTCAAGTTACCTTTACTAAATACAATACTTTGGAACAAGATTAATTTTTCTGAACTACTACATTTCTGCAAAA